TCTGAGAGTTTGCTATGAAGCAGAAGTAGTTTCTCCTCCTGGTTGGGTTTTGAGTATCAAGCAACCCACCCTCTGCCCAATACAGCCTCTCTCTTTTATTCTGACAGTATTTTAGGGAGTTCTCCTGGTGCTTGAGAAACAGGCATGATCCCAAAGGGAATTTTTCCTCTTTTGCCCTTGTTTTGATCTCCTAAGTGGAAATATTTCCTGTTTTCTGCTGCTCCAGGCTCGGCGCTCTCTAGAGGATGTTCCACCTGGGCAGTGCACAGAGGCAGCAAGGTGTTCACCCTGTGTAGGCTGGATGCAGCTGCTGCAGCAGGAGCAGCTCCAGGTTGGGTGTTCTGTCTCCAGACTCTGCCCTGTGGTTGGGTTGTCCTCCATCTGGGTGCTTCCCAGTCACACAAGCTGCTGGTGGCCAGGTCCTCTTGAGGTGTGTGCCTTCAGCTCGTGTTCCACGTGGCACTTCAGTGCCAGTCCCCTTCCTCTCACCTCTCCCAAAGACACATAATGAGGTTAGGGTCACTTGGGACACCTTTTCCAGCTTGTGCATGGCAGAAGCAGCTCCCGTGGGACGTGGGGAAATTTGTAGCAGTGGTAGGTCTTGATCTACACAGTGAACACTCCCCTGGTTTTAATGGGTGCTACACGTGGTATTGGTGAAGAGCTTGGTGAGGTGGCCTTGATAGCAACAGTGTTTTAGTCCAGGATAATCCTCTGGTGGAGAAAGAACCTGGCCCCTAAACTTTGTGTGTAGTCTGTGCCTAGTGCTGTTAGTACAGTCTAAAGTCTCTTTTTTGGGGGATTTTCTGTAACAGAACACTTAAATGTGTAAAGAAATGACTTAACCTTTAAAAGAAGGCAGCTGCACTTAACCAGTGGTGCCTGTTGAGTGGTGGTGTGAAGCACGCAGCCCCAAATTAATCCTAAATTTTCCCAGTGTTCTGTTCTTATTGGATCACTTCTCACCTTCCCTTTAAACCACCCTTTATAGTGTAAAGAACAAGCTGCCAAGTTAGATTTGCACTTCAAATTATTTGGTGGTTGTTCTTGCCTGTAACACCAGCTAACAGCTGTTAAACTCTAAGTTTTTTTTAAATACCTTTCTCCCCTTGCTTACCCATGGGTTTGGTGAGCTTTTGTATGAGTATTTTAATTTAAAACCAGCTAGAATGCTATAAAGTAGAAACCTGATTCGGGCCAGCTAGTGATAAGTGGCTGAATTTTAAACCAGTATGTCTGTTAAATAACAAATGGATCATTTTTCTTTTGACTGATCTAGCCTGGGGTTAATGAATGATGAGTTTGGGGCTTTTCTAATTGTGTTAGAGGTGTAGTTAATGTTTAGGCCAGTATCAAACAGTCTTTCCTTTAAATGGAGACATGGTTTTGGTGGTAAATGAGTTCTCTTTGTAAGCACATGAGTTTTCTTTGCTGTAGGTGTCTAAGGAAATAGAAAGAAGGTGCAGAAAGCTACTCAGCAAAAGCTTTTTGGTAAACCTGCCACTGTTGGGGTTGTGGCTTGTGCTTCAGCATTGTGGTTTTTAACTGAGTGTGACTCTAATGTCCTTTCCAGCACCACCATCCCTGTCTCTCCTTTGAGTGGATGTTTAAGGTGAGGTAGGAGTGTCCTAGGGAGACCAGATGTCCTCTGTAGCTTTGTGTCTCCGTGTGCTGAGCAGAGGAGGGACAGGGAATTAAGCTCCTCTTGGCCCATCTTCCTGCCTGCTGGTCTGTCAGCAACAGAGAAGTTGTGGCCAGCAAGTTTATGCCACTTGAGAAGTTTTTTTTTCTCTGTGGGAGCCTTATGTGGTAAGTGCTGGCACATGGAAGTGAAAATCTGAATGAAACCATGAAATTTGCCACAGCTCCTGGCTTGGTGAAGTTTAATCTCTGTGGTCACAAAGAACTCTTCCAGAGCTGCCAAATTTAAGGGGTTGCAGAGATTGGAAGATGTAGCTGCACTTTCTTTGATGAACTTGATACCCTTCTGGTCGTGCCTCCGTGGGATGGCTTGTTAGCCAGCAGCTCATCCCAGAAGTTGGGAGCTCAGGGAGCCTTTTGGACTGGTGGAGCTCAGCAGCCCCAGTGAAATGACATGAAAATGCATTCATGTTCAATTAAAATGTTCAATATAAAATGCTGCAGAAGATGAAGCATTGTTTGGCTTTGAGAGATTCCTCAGAGCTCTTATCCTAACCACCTACAATTAATAAAAGCAAATCCCAGCTCTCACTCCTGGGCCAGATCTCTGTAGCAGCCACCAGGCTGCCTGCTGCTGCAGACACTCATTCATTTTTAACTCCTTCTTTCCCCAAATCACACTAAATCACTTAGCCAGTGACTCTGCCTCACTGTTTACCAACAGCACATGATATTTCTCTGGAACCTGCCCAACGGGTTTGTACTGCTGTGAGGATCTTGAGGAGGTGGAGTAGAGCAGAAGATCTGCTGCAGGGCTCCTGCTGGGCAGGGAGAACCAGGAGTCAGACAGCTCAGTTTTGGGTTTGTTTGGCTGATGGCCCCATTGGTGGTGAAGACATGGACATCTCTCCTGCTCCAGCAAGTAACTGGTGGGACTCACCACAGGCTGTGGGAGCTCCACAGGTGGGCTTCTGGTGTTTTTCTTTCAGGCAGCAATGATTCCACTCCTTTGTGGTCAGCATCTGAACACTGATCTAGGGGTGGGCTGTAAATGACACTTCTCTGCCTGTAAAAATAAATGGGACTTTCTGCAATGTCACCTCCCCTGGAGTACCACATGAGTTGTGCTTGGCTTGGATGGTAGGAGTGTGGGTAAAAACATGGAGGAAGGGGAATGGCTGTCAGGACAACAGGGATCTAACAGGGTTCACCACTGCCAGTGCTGAGTTGCTCTGCAGACTGGGACTTCCCAGGGTGTGGAACAACGTGGGTTTTGCTGTGTTACCTGATCACTGCTATTGACTGAAGCATTTAATAACCTACTACTCTTTTAAACACACAGAAATTAAAAAACCTGCAGACTTGTTCAGGGTTTCTAAGGTTTTCTGGCTACAGAAGTTCTTACCCTCATTTCAGAGGGCTCTGAGAGCTCTGGCAAGAGGTTACAGTTCAGCCCTGGCTGTCCCCTTGAGATGAAGTCAGAGATAGAGGTGGCATGAGCAGGCAGACAAAGGAAAGCTTTACAGCTGCCCTCCCAGCCAGAGCTGCTGCTGGGGGTGAGATTTCCTGCTGTGTGAGCGAGTTGGATAAACAGGGGCTCCAGCAAAACTGTTTTCTCTACTTCCTAATGAACTTTCCTGTTTATACAGCTCTCATGTCTTCAGGCAGGAGCTGAATATTCACCCTAGTGCCTCAGAAATATGAAGGAAATGGTGGAATAATAGAAGTTTTAACCCATCTGTTTGGTTTCAGTCCACAGGCTGCCCTGTCCAGCCTAGAGGAGCTCAATTTTATAGTTTTAGTTTTGATTGCACTGAGCTTCAGTCACAGAAATGAAACTTTGCCTGGAGTTACATCAGCAAGTGGAACTGGTGATGTCACTGGGGAGCTCTGAAGTGGACTCTGCACTTCAGTGGAGCTGCTTGTGCTGAGACATGTGACTTGGCTCCTGTTGCAGGGCTTAACTTTTGGGTTAAAAATGGGATCCAGCAAAGCCTCCTGAGAAGGGTGGAACTGCTTGGAGCTCTCTGTGCTGAGGGATGAAGCCAGACTTCACACGTGCTTACCATGGGGCTGAGCAGAGCAGGGCACGACTGCTGTGCTGGGGGGCACTGCTCAGTTTGGAGCTGGTTTTAATGGTTTTAAAGGGATCACAGGTTAGGGGGGTTTGGAAGGAACCTCTGGAGATCATCAGGTCCAGCCCCCTGCTCCAGCAGGTTAGGTCCAGTGCCCAGGGTCCTGTCCAGCCAGGTTTGGGATCTCTCCAGAGCAGGAGACTCCACAGCCTCTCTGGGCAGCTGCTCCAGGCTCTGCACCCTCACACCAAACAAGTTTCTCCTCCTGCTCAGGTGGCACCTCCTGGGTTCCAGTTGGTGCCCGTTGCCCCTTGTCCTGTCCCTGGGCACCACTGAGCAGAGTCTGGTCCCATCCCCTTGACACCCACCCTATATTTAGATCTTGGTCAGCATTGATCAGATCATCTCTGTCTCCTGCAGCTCAGCAGCCCCAGGGCTCTCAGCCTGGCCTGGCACAGAGATTCTCCAGCCCCTCAGCAGCTCTGCTGGACTCTCTCCAGTAGCTCCTTGTCTGTCTTGACCTTGGGAGCCCAGAGCTGGGCCCAGTCCTCCAGAGGTGGCCTCACCAGGGCAGAGCAGAGGAGACCCCAGGGACTTGGGGAGTGCTGGAGCTGGAGTGGGGAGGAAGTTCCTCCAGCTCCTAACTGGGAACCTCCTGCTGTTAACTGCTTCTGAGCGTCCCAGCAGAAGTGTCACAGTGGAGGAAGAAGAATTCTCTCCTAAAGCTGCCTCTCCTCCCCTGGCTGTTAATTTCTGACGGCTGAGTTCCAGTAAAGGTGCATTTACCTCCTGGAGAAGATCTCCATCCAGAGTTGCAGTGATTGTATTGTGTCCACAGGCTGTTTCCTCAGGGATTGAGAGGAAGGAAACTGCTTGGAGCAGGAGGGAATCCAAGCTGCTCCTGAGCTTCCTTTGCAGCAGGACCAGCTCTTGGTCCTTTTCAGCTGCAGGATTGGAACAGGTCTGGGTTTGGTGACACTTCAGGCTGCAGATGAATTCCCCTGTAACAGGAGACAGAAGTTCAGCAGTGTTGTGGATTTCACCAACAAAAATTTGAGAGGAGTGCTTAACAGATCTCTGAAAGAACATCTGAAAGATTTGCAACACTCAAAGCCTTGTTTTATGGCCAGAGAAGCCAAAAATTATCTTTGTATTGCTTTGGGATGGAGAAAATGGTGTCAGGTGGTGGCTGGGGGGCTGGGGGGGGCACACTGGGTCTGACCCCATGTTCTGGTGGCTGGTGGGAACCCAGCACTGATACTGTGATTTCTTCTGTCCCCTCTAGACTTCACTGGCCAGTGAGAACATCCCTCAAGCATGGGAAATATTTTTGCTAACCTGTTCAAAGGCCTTTTTGGCAAAAAAGAGATGAGGATCCTGATGGTGGGGCTGGACGCCGCGGGGAAGACAACCATCTTGTACAAACTGAAACTTGGGGAAATAGTCACCACCATTCCCACCATAGGTAAGGGTGACCTTCACACAACAGCTTGCCCTCAGGTTTGGGGTGGTGGTGGGAGCAGGAGCTCCTGAGAACCCCCATGGCTCTGCTCTGAGGGCTTCTCAAAGCACTCTGCTTCAAGGAGATTTAAAGATTGCTTTGTTAACGGTGACACTGTGACTTGGTACATGCAGCAGGTCTGGGGCAGCTGCCTTTAACTGAGATGTTCTGCCACTGTTTCTGTTCCAGGTTTCAACGTGGAAACAGTAGAATATAAGAACATCAGTTTCACAGTCTGGGATGTTGGTGGTCAGGATAAGATCAGACCACTCTGGCGCCATTATTTCCAGAACACACAAGGTGAGTCCAGATGTTGAAATCACAACTTTCCAGAATCTAAAAGGTTCTTTTAATCTCCTTACAAAGATAGTTTTGCAAGTTTCTTGGAGGGGAGTGGAAATATTATTATGAAAGGGTGTGTTTCTGTGCTGCTCTGGCTCTTCTGTGAAGCTAGTGCAGGTTCAAAGAGGGATGGGAAGGAACCTAGAAACCAGTTTTCCTTGTCCAGCTGACTCAGAGCAGAGTCAGAACTTTGCTTTTCTCCTGCCTGTGCCACAGTTCTCTGCCTTGGCTTCAAAGCAGAGTCTTTCCTACAGGCTCCACAACCAAGAGTGAGTTCTGACATCACCAAAGCAAACCAATTGTTGCTTTCAGCAAGCACAGACTCTCAGCCATCAGGCTGTAGTACTGTTTTCCCCAATACATACTGAATGGTTTTGGATTTTCTCTTCAAAGCTTTATTCTGGCCTCTGGAAGCATTTCTATCATTTGTAAACAACTTCTGGTTTATGCTTATTCTAATAGTTTGCTTTTTTTCCTAGGTCTGATTTTTGTGGTTGACAGTAATGACAGAGAACGAGTGAACGAGGCCAGAGAAGAGCTGATGAGAATGTTGGCAGAAGATGAGCTTAGAGATGCTGTTTTATTAGTGTTTGCTAACAAACAGGTA